TTATGGGCTTCATTTAAATAATTGCATTCATGAATTAAATTGTACTCTCGAAAGAATTGGATAGTACCTTGCACACAAAAGCCAGGCAGGAGCAAAACGGCCTTGATTTATGTCCTTTAACCATGCAAATTGGCTAATTATTTAAAAATCAGACTTACTGACTCATTTTTGCGGTGATAAATAATGAGCCAATTCCCTCCTGGGGTAAATATTTAAAATAATTATTTCAAGCCTTGACAATATTTCACCATTAATCGCTGACACTCCGGTTTTATTTGTGGTGGTCCATTTTCATTGTTAAATGTAGACAATAGCGTAGTAAGTTGCTTTATTCCATCAATTCAACGTCACGATTATTATCTATTTTATACATTATTTATTTATTATTTTCTTTATAACAAATGGCAGGCGTTTTGATAGTTATCATTAGCCCTTTAGTTGACTTCGGGCTTCACAGAGAGGAGGAGGAACATCAAAGTGAGAAGAATTCAAGAGGGGGAATAGAAGAGTGATTCACAGATGTGAAAGAAACAGACACAAAGGCTCAGAAAGGGTAAGATGAGTACTGTGGTAGGGGTCGACTGTGACATACAGTGGGGAGAATCTCCCAAAACCAGCTAAGCTATACCCCAGCTATAGAGGCAACAAACGTATAGCACGGAGCACGTTTATTCAGTAGAGTTATTGTGAGTAAAGCGTACACGAAGGGAGCTTAGTCATGATCAGGATGGCGGATTAGGTTAAACGAACGGAGGCTACTGATTGGCTTTACTAGTGTAGCAATCCGATACAGGGATTATCATGGTCATTTCATTTGATCGGCGTTGGTGCTTCCTTGGCTATGCGTTTTCTCAACATTACCAGTCTCGGAATGCGATGAAACGACAGAGAAAGAATACTAAAATCCATATTTGGATGGATCACACACGGTTCTATATAAGTTCTTAAGTTTTAAATACAATGGAAACTGCTTTTCACCTAATTTCAGGTGACCTTCAAAAGGACAATCGTAGGGTGAGACTTCGATAACTGTCCAACGTATTAATCCGCCAGCGAGTGACAGAAAGTGAACTTATTACAGCTACACTGTTGATTTCTACAAGCTAACTTACTGCCATCCAAATTAGTAAACTTTTAGGATTCCAACTAAATTTGATTTCTTTGATTCCAATAACATTAGTAGAACTTTAAATTAATATGTAATGAAGCGAAGTAACTAGCTTAAAGTCAAGGTATTGATTTCAAGATTATTTTTTTCCTTTGGCTACACTGAGTGCATGTAACACTGTGATTATGGCGCTGAAGGGTATTTCAACACTTCTGTGAGAAAAAGACTGCATTTTTCTATTCAATACCTTCTTGCAAAAGCACCTATCAAACATGTCACTCATAAGTCGTCAAGGTGAATGAGTGTTTTTGTGCGTAGGTACCTAAATAGTGACTTGTCATCACTCTGGAATATCGATGATGAGACATGAGTAGCCTCTAAAGAGGAGTTGCAATTTATGTTTCGCGACGTTGCAGGTACTGCTGTCGGTGTCGTTTATTGCACGGCGCACGCTCCTTTGATCAGCTCCGTTCTTCCCCGTTTCATCTTTAACTAATTAAGAAGCCTATCTGAAGCACTACCGATTAAGATTTTGATTTGGACGTAAGGAAAAGCCTTCGGGTAGTGCCCAGACTACCTTTTATGGGCCACAGTTCGTGGTTTTTGCGCTTAAAAATGTCTTACTAATGCAAAATAGGGGAGGGGTAGGGGGTGTACAATAGACTTACCTCCATGGGCAACGTATACTCGTGCGGTAACAGGTCTATAAAATGGCAGTTGACTTCGCACTTCAAACTGCCGTGACCCGATTGTATGTCATATTCAACCACTTCCACAATACTTGTCTTACCTTTCCCTTGCCTGTCTCTTTTGCATTCGTGAATCATTCTTCTATTCCTCCTTTCGACATTTTCTCACTTGGATACTCCTCTCTTCTGTGAAGTAAGAAGGCAAAAACCACTCCCACTTTACGTAAGTAAATAAAGTTAAAATTAGGGGATGTTAAACAGAGGTCTCAGTTTCTCCTCTCTACTCTTCTGAGCTCATGATGAAGTCATCTAGGATCGTTTTCCGATGCCAATGCGTGTCAAGATATCAACTGCAATGCAACTCCTTGGCATTTTGGCTTAGCTTTAAGCACCCTTTATTTTACTTTCTTATCTTTAGTTTTTTTCGCTGGTTAAAAAGAATTCACCTTTCTCCCCGCTATGCTAATCAAAAGCTTGACTAACACTAATCACAGGTGACGTGCTTTAACAACAAGACCTGCAGCACCTTCTAAGTGTTCCACATCTACTTTAACACCTAATTACTATCTCAAGCAGTCTCCTAGAACGCAGTTCCACATCCTGATCCAATAGACGCGCATAACATTTCAACCCTGGAGTGAGCTTAATGCCACCAAATGTGGGTGGAGCTAAATGAACACTGCTGCATGTCCTTCCTAAGTGTCAAAACCACATTTTTGGAGGAAACAAAGTCGAATAATAGCCTCCCTAAACTCCGTAAATTCTTCCACACATTAAAAATAAGACACAGTTAATAAAATAAAAAGCTCATTACAAAAAAGGAAAGAGTTGGGGGAGAATGATAATAAATTAACAGACCACTGCTAATCAATAAGACCGTTTTCCCGCATACGCCATATCACAGCTGGTTCCAAGTCTGCATCCTTGCGAGGTTGCCAAGCTTTTCCATGAAGACGATTATCTGCCCGTCTCGGTTGATCTGGTCGGTGATCTGAAGTACTGGGTGGGGGGTGGTCTCTTCTACGATTCCAGAATTCCGCTGGCGGTACACAAGCCGTCCAACTATCTACGAACCTTATCAATCCTGAAAACATCGATTTAATCTCTTCTACAAATTGCGCTTCAACACGACCAAGAAGCTCTGGCAACCAAGTCTCCATAGCCTCTCTCATTCTATCCTTCGGTTGAGCATATGACAGTCTGCAGGCAATATGATGTGCCAGACATCCCGATGGGAACATTATCTGTGGTGGAAGAAATTCCATTCCACACCCAGCTTCTTCTGGCATCAACGCGTCAATGACATCAATTAAAGCAGTTAAATAGTTAAAAACTGATTCGATTTGTGCAATAATATGCAAATAGGCGAATCTTAAGGGCTCAATTCTTGCTCCAGAAATATTTCTGCCTCTTATGGACATTAACTTCCCATTAATGTCACTACGGCCTCTAACATCGATAATGGAACCCTTCTCCAGAAGCCTCATTTGAACAGCAATTGCACAGAGACTTACAGCCAAGCCAACTGAAGAAGTAGACAGATTCTCTGTTTCAGGACGGGCATCAAATCTAGCCCACAAAAAGAGAACACAAGCCACAGAGTGCAACCACTTTGGAATAATGGGAGGCCGATCAGGAAGATGTAAATGATGTTGGAGGAATGCAAATCCATTGGGGAA